CCAGGTAACATAGTTAATTCTGATTTACAAAATTAGTTCTAACCCTGCAGAAGCAGCTCAAGGACAAAGCGATCGCATAGAGCAAATACCTGGAGTACCACCTGTAATCAAAGGAATAGACATGGACAAATATTCACAACAACCTTGGAAGCCAAGTGCTGCTCCCCTCCCAATTCCAAAGAAATTCAAAATGCCCGATATTCCAAAATACGACGGAACAACTGATCCACGAGACCACGTGACTGCATTTACAACTGGCATGAAAGGCAACGACTTAACCAAACAAGAAATCGAGTCAGTATTGGTCAAGAAATTTGGTGAAACACTCACCAAGGGAGCATTGACATAGTATTCTCTCTTACCCGAAAATTCTATACGTTCTTTTGCTGAGCTTGCAGATCCATTCATCAAAGCGCATTCGGGAGCTCAAAAAGTCGAGAAAAGAATGGAAGATATTTTCAAAATCAAGCAAGGAGACTCAGAGTTTCTTAGAGAGTTCGTGGATAGATTCCAGTGTGAAAGAATAACGTTACCACGAGTACCGGACAACTGGGCAGCTATAGCCTTTACTAGTAATTTGAATGAGAAAAGCTCAAAAGCCACGAGGCGACTCAAGGAAAGTCTTCGTGAATTCCCAGCAACAACTTGGAATGACGTTTACAACAGATACAACACGAAGCTAAGGATAGAAGAAGATATTAACCCACGGTCTCAAAAAGAGGAAAAGGTAAGTTCGAGACGTGCGGAAACTGAAAAAAGGTCTGGTAAAAATAGATACGAACCATATATGGGCCCAGCGGGAAAAGATTCACGATCAAAGCAAGACAATTCAAGATATGATCATAGATCGAGGAATAAAGAGTCGGGTTCATCTTCAAGGTTTGGGAACGATTGAAACATGCGAGAGATGCGAGACGATGATAGAAACTTGAAGGCAAGATTCGGCGGTTACAATTTTAATGTTAGCACTTCTGAGCTCATAGCCGTTTTAAGAAGCATGGGTAATAAGGTGCGGTGGCCAAAGGAAATGAGATCAAATCCAAATAGGCACAATCCTGATCACTGGTGTGAGTTTCACAATGACCATGGTCATAAAACAGCAGATTGTAGACTGTTACAAGGTGAGGTGGACCATTTATTAAAGCAAGGGTATCTTACCGAACTATTTAGCAAAAAAGGTAAGCAAGCATACATGAAGAACAGGCAGGAGCCTCCCAAACCTCCTTCTCCGAAAAGGACCGTTAATGTTATAAGTGGAGGCGAAGAAATTAACGGCGTGACATATACAGCAGCCAAGAAAATTTCTAAAGTTACAGTTACACACGGGAAGCGGGTTCGACATGTTCTGGAGGAAGAAAGTATTACATTTGATGATGCAGACGCGGACGGCGTGATAACCCCCCACAACAATGCACTGGTAATTTCTCTACTTGTACATGATACTAATGTAAAACGAGTTTTGATTGATCCAGGTAGTTCCGTGAACATTATTTTGCGAAGAGTACTAAATGAGATGCAAGTAGAAGATAGACCGGTACCTAAGGCACATACCCTGTCCGGCTTCGATAATTCGAGCGTTGTGACAAAAGGAGAGGTAACACTTACAAAATTCGCAGAAGGATTGGTAAAAGAAACGAAGTTTCAGGTGGTAGAGATGGAAATGGCTTACAATATAATTCTCGGAAGACCATGGATACACGAGATGGATGTTGTTCCATCTACCTTACATCAAGTTATGAAATTCTCATCACCATAGGAATATATCAAATTCGTGTGGATCAACAAACTTCCAGAAGCACCAATTCTGTAGTAGATTCAAGTACGAACAACGAAGAAAAGTAGCAATTACAGAGTCCAGTTGAGGATATCACGGCACAAACCTCAACTGAACAAGGGCGGATAGATGTGGACTCAAGGCCCGATTCCATTCAAGAGCCAGAAGAAAATGAAAATATCAAAACAACAATTGAAGAATTAGAGGCTGTAGAGTTGTTTGCACAATGGCCTGAAAGGAAATTTTATATTGGGGCCAACTTAAGCCACGACTTGAAAGGTAAGTTGATTGAATTTTTAAAAGCTAACATAGATTGTTTTGCCTGGTCCCATTCTGATATGACAGGAATACCCCCGGAAGTAATGACTCACAAGTTAAATGAAGACCCATCGTATCCACCTGTCAAACAGAAAAAAGAAAGCAGGGGACTTTCAAAAACCAGGTGATTCAAGATGAGGTTCAAAAATTATTAAAAATTGGGTCTATCCGCGAGGTACAGTATCCTAATTGGTTAGCCAACACTGTAGTAGTACCGAAAAAGAATGGCAAATGGCGAGTTTGTGTAGATTACACCGACCTTAATAAAGCATGTCCTAAAGATTCTTTTCCATTACCACATATAGATCAACTGATTGATGCTACTGCAGGACATGAATTGTTAAGCTTTTTAGATGCATATTCAGGGTACAACCAAATCAAAATGGATCCCCTAGATGAAGAAAAAACTTCATTTATAACAGACAGGGGGACTTATTGTTATAAAGTAATGCCCTTTGGCCTCAAAAACGCTGGAGCCACGTATCAAAGGCTGGTGACCAAGATGTTTCAGGAACACCTAGGAAAAACTATGGAAGTCTACATAGATGATATGCTTGTCAAATCTCAAAAGTCGAGGGATCATATACAACATTTGTCTGATACATTTCAGATTTTACGAAAGTTCAATATAAAGCTAAATCCCGAGAAATGTGCATTTGGCGTCTCATCAGGTAAGTTTTTGGGTTTTCTTGTTTCTAACCGAGGTATTGAAGTAAATCCTGCGCAGATTAAAGCCATTGAAGAAATTCCTGACATGCTCACAAGTAAGAAAGAGGTGCAGAGATTAACAGGAAGAATTGCAGCCTTGGGGAGATTCATTTCTAAGTCATCAGAAAAATGTTTTAAATTCTTTTCAGCTCTCAAAAAGCAAGATCAGTTCGAATGGTCTGAGGAATGTCAACGAGCACTCAAAAACTTGAAGACATACCTGTCAAATCCACCGTTGCTAGCAAAACCAAAAGATGGAGAAAGGTTACATGTCTATCTAGCTGTTTTGGAAGTAGCGGTAAGTGTTGTTCTGGTTCGGGAGGATCAAGGTAAACAGTCTCCAATTTATTGTGTTAGCAAATTGCTATTAGATGCAGAGACACGATATCCTCAATTAGAAAAACTTGCACTTGCATTAATCATGGCATCTAGAAAATTGAGGCCTTATTTTCAATGTCACCCTATCTCTGTAGTAACTGCTTATCCCCTGCATAATATATTACACAAACAGGAACTATCGGGTAGGTTAGCCAAATAGACCATAGAGTTGAGTGAATATGACATCACATATCAACCCAGGACTGCAATAAAATCACAGATGTTAGCTGATTTTTTAGCTGATTTTAGTCAAGGGATGCAACTAGAAGCGGAAAAAGAACTACAAGTGTTCAATGGATCTAATTTAGGAACCTGGACTTTATTTACTAACGGCTCATTAAATGTGAAAGGTGCAGGTTTAGGAATTGTTTTGGTACCACCTACGGGTGAAATCATTCGACAAGCCATAAAATGTCATCCTATAACTAACAATGAGGCAGAGTATGAAGCCGTGATTGCAGGTTTAGAACTGACAAGTGAACTTGGCGTAGAACAAATTATAATCAAAAGCGATTCGCAACTCGTAGTCAACCAGATGCTGGGGACTTATACAGCCAGGGAAGTAAGGATGCAGCAGTACCTGGAAAAGGCACGAGATCTGGTAAGGTAATTCCAAAGCTGGAAGGTTTTGCAGGTCCCACGGGAGGAGAATGTTGAGGCAGATGCCTTAGCCAATCTTGCATCTGCAGCAGAAGTAACAAATAAGGAAAACGCTTCTGTCATACATTTATTTCATTCGGTACTCGATCAGGACAAAAATGAGGTAAATTTCAACCTGACTTGGGACTGGAGAAACGATATTGTTGATTTTTTGCAATATAGAACCGTACCTGAAGACAGGAAAAAAGCTCACGCGCTTCGTAAAAAGGCTGCTCAGTACTGTTTAAAGCAAGGCAATCTTTATCGAAAAATGTTTGGCGGTCCATTAGCGAGATGTCTCGGGCCTTCTCAAACGGAATATGTAATGAGAGAGATACACGAGGGGCATTGTGTAAATCACGCAGGAGGAAGGTCACTGGTAAGAACCATGATTAGAGCAGGCTATTATTGGCCTAAAATGGAAGAAGAAGCGGAGAATTTCGTGGCTAAATGTGATAAGTGCCAAAGATATGGTAACAATATGCATAGACCTGCGGAGTTGCTACATCCGGTCATCGCACCATGGCCTTTTATGAAATGGGGGATGGACATCGTGGGTCCATTACCACAAGCAAAAGGCAAGGTAAAATTTCTACTTGTACTCACTGATTACTTTACTAAATGGGTAGAAGCAGGAGCATTCAAACAGGTACGAGAAAAAGAAGTCAGAGATTTTATTTGGTGAAATATTATATGCCGATTCGGTGTACCAAAGAAAATCGTGTGTGATAATGGCCGCAATTTATAGGCGCACAAATGACAGAATTTTTTCAAAGTTGGCAGATCAAAAGTATTACCTCAACACCTTACCATCTAGTGGGTAATGGACAAGCTGAATCAACAAATAAAATTATTATCAACAATTTGAAGAAACGATTGGAAGAATCCAAAGGCAATTGGCCAGAATTGCTACCTAGTGTTCTATGGGCATATCGCACCACAGCAAAAACAAGTACGGGTGAAACACCGTTTTAACTGGTGTATGGAGCTGAAGCTTTGGTCCCAGTGGAGATAGGAGAACCTAGCACGAGATATACACAAGCAACTGAGGAATCCAATGAAGAGGAAATGCGACTAAATCTTGATCTACTTGAAGGAAAAAGAGAAGCTGCATTAATAAGGATGGCAGCGCAAAAACAAGTTATGCAACGATACTACAATCGAAAAGCATGTCTAAGATACTTCAAGATTGGGGACTTCGTACTCAAGAAAGTTTTTCAATCCACAAAGGCGGCTAATGCGGGAAAATTAGGTCCAACCTGGGAAGGACCCTACAAGATTCATGGTATTGCAGGGAAAGGAGCATACAAGTTGGAAACAATGGATGGTAAGATATTACCTTCACATTGGAATGCTGTTAACCTGAAGAGATACTATTTCTAAGGAGTGCCCACGGGCAGGTATCCTCATTTTAAAATTTTGTTTTTGAATTGTTAAAATTTTACTAATGCTTTTAGATGATAGGCAAAAAGCCAACCCGTACTAAATGATGAATCACGACCTGTAAGGCACGTGGAATAAATTAAAATTCCCGGTCTAGGGTTACAAGTATTCTGATAGAAATTTGAGGCGGGTTAAGCAGTCTTCATCTATAATCGTACCTCCGAGTCCCGTATGTTTTATTCCTTTACAGGAAAAGGACCAAAGAAGAGGAGTAATCAAGTGCTCAAGACTTCATACTTCAAATCTCAAACACTTGGGAGACTATATAATATACATAGACACGTGCATAAAGAAGGCAAAGAAGATTGAAGTTCAAGCCTGAAAAGTTTACTCATTGAATGAGTCAGGGGCAGAGCAAAGTCACGAGGTAAAGCCAAAGAAAAAGCAAAGTCACGAGCTAAAGCCAAAGAAAAACCTCATCATAGTTAGGCTAAAGGCAATATACATGTATTGAAACGGGTTATAAATAAAAACCTTGTTGTATATTATTTTTTTTGAAAATTTGTTGTAAGGAAAACAGTTACGAAAAAGTTATAGAAGTTATTTAAATACATGTAAAATGTTATTTAAAGATTGACAAAGTTCAAATAAAAACTTGTCAAAGATATTTCAAGAAACATGTGTATTCCTATTTCTTTTGTCGTATATTAACACTATTATGAAGTTGAGACGTCTTCTTCATTAAGTGTCGAGTATAAAAGGGCCTCTTTTATAAAATTCATGATTGATTCAAATATTCATGAAGTAAAAAAAAGTAGTATTTTTGCAAAATAAAAATGCAAATTATCCAATAAGTCCTTAAATATAAAGGCAAGAATAAGCAAAACAGAAGTTCATGCAATAACAGAAAACTTCTTAATATTAAAAAAGTATAGACTGAGTATAAACTTAGTCATAAACTAAAAGTTGTTTATACAAAACGCCCCGAAAAAGGTCTGGGGACTTAATATTTTCAACAAACCCTCAAAAAGGACCAAGGGTTACAACCACATACCATCCAAAAAGAAAAAAAAAGGCGGAAGTCACATATTATCAACTTGTCACTAAGGAGTTGAAGAAGGAACTGAAGCAGGATCATCAGCAGCAGCAGGCTCAACTTGACTTGAAGGAATTGGAGCACTCACCATACCCGTATCATCTTCTATATTTTCAGAAGTTTCAGCCACGGGAGAAGAAAAGTCTTGGCTTTGCTGAGTCTTTTCGATGGTTTCTTTTATTTTAGCC